GTAATACGGACTTATCACTGCTCGATTGCCAATGAGGTCAACTTAAGGGCGACATGAATGTTATTAATATGAGTTTAACTCTTTTTGGTGATTATTTTGCAGGTCAATTTTCGGAGCTAGATAGTCAATTAGGTCAACTTAAGGGCAACATGAATGTTAGTTTGTGAATCATACATAAATATCCTAGATTATTCTCGGAGCTAAATTATTCATAAATAAACTTACTCACTTGCCAGAGCAAGATTATTCTGCATATATGTTGTATGTAAAATATACATAGAACATACATCTACTAATCCAAATTAATCAATTAAATTAGATAAAAAAAATTGATCAACAACTAAAAACATCCTAAATTTTTCTCAAATCACTATATTAGAAAATATCATATATCATTTGTGCGTCTAATTTGTTTAAATTCGATCTTGCGTCAGATGTATCTCTTCTGCCCTTCAACGAATACTTGTCACATTTGGTTATATGTATAGAGCCATAGAGGTAAATGTTGAGTGTTTGTTCACACATGTCAAATATATAGAGTATAAAATAAGAATCTAACTCTATGAATTGGTACCAAAACATGTTCCCTTTGTCCTTTTGTTTATTTGTTGGCAGGGGAGGATCTATATTAGGGAATGATGGGCTAAAGTCCAGGATAAAGTTAAAAAATATTATTTTATGGTATTACTTTTAAAATTTTCCATCCAACCCATCCCAAATTTTTTTATAGCCCACCCCATTTTTTTATAGCCCAATCCAAGTTTTTCAACCCAGCCCATAAAACAAAATCTTACCATCTAAATTGAATACTCATCATGGCAGGGTTGCCCAGGGGAGGGGCAACTAGTGCAATGGCACAATGCCTCGAAAAATAAAAGGCCCAAATTCAATAAAAATAAAGAAAAGTAATAGGCTAATAGCCTTGCGTCTCGGATGAAGCGGGCAAGTAGTCTTCGCCCTTTGACCCTACGTCGTTGACATCGCGATTTCTGCAAGGCAGCAACCCGCATCATCCAAATTTAACGAAGCCATTCAATCACTGTCGAGTCGCAGACCACTCCAGTACCCAAGCGTCAACATCTGTCTGTGACTCCGTGTAGTGGTGTAGGTCCGCTAATCAAACTATAGTTGAGCATCATTATCACTTTGATGTTTTAAACGAGGCAATAAACTTTGTATTCACGGAGTTAAGGATCCGGTTTAATGATAAATCAGTGAAACTACTTTCTTTGAGTGCTCATTCATTAGATCCCAAAAATTCATGAGTCATTCAATATCGATGCTATTTGTACTCTTGCAAGGAAGTTCTATTCCAAAGGTTTTAGTAGTAAGAATATTCTTGCTGTGGATTTCGAGTCGCAACACTATGTTCATGATGCGATTCCTGATACAAAGTTTTAAGCATCTACACTTGTTGAATTATGTGAGGAATTGACTATAAGAGTAGAAGATCGGATTCATTTGTTACGAGGAGCAGATTAATTCGCCTTGTATTGATCATTGATCTTACCTGTTACTACTGCAATAGCAGACCGATCATTTTACTACAAGAAAACAATGACATTGACATGAATTTGACATGGATTGATCGAATTTGGCACAAATTAATAATACTCCGTAACATATTTTTAGAACGATGTCGTGCCAAATAGCTGGTGACAAAATGACATTGGCACAGAATTTGGCACGGATTTAAGGTTTCAATGTCAAATCCGTGTGAAATACCCTATAAATTTTGGTTAATCCATGCCAAAGATCTGTGTCAAGTTCGTGCCAAAACCGTTATTTTTTTGTAGTGTTTTCTGTCATGAAACTTCTAAAGACAACACACCGCAACATATTTGTCGATGACTTTATTGCAGATTGCATGACACACTTTATATTGAAAGAGACTTTACTCTTAGTATATATGTAGACTCTATTGTTGACGTTTTTTTTTTGTTTCAAAGCATCGTCGAGGACAAATTTAGTGGAGAACTTGCTTTTATATTTGATGTTTTTTGCTTATTTTGAAAATTTTCACTGTATTACTCCCTCCGTCCCTTATAACTTTGCTAACTTTCCTTTTTTCGATGTCCCACTAACTTTGCCACTTTCTCTTTTAAGTAAAAAATTTGTGGTTCCAGTTCATTCTCTCTCTTGTGCACAAACTTCAATCACACAATTTTACTTTATTATTATTTCTCGTGCCGGTCAAACTTGGCAAAATCATTAGGGACGAAGGGAGTATCATTTAAGAGTTTCAATCTACCTGAACATGAAATTTTGGATCAGCCCTATGTGTTGGGCAGCCAATGGTACGGTGTGGGTCGTTTGGGGTCAGAATGACACATTAATTATCACTCTCATGATCTCATCTAGTATAGTCCACTAGTTTCAGTCCAGATGCGTGTTAAACTACATTTCTAACATATAAGTTCATGGAATTAATGGGACTACTATGGAAGCATCAAGCATGCATTTCATTTCCGATCAGTTCAACTTTTTATTTAAGCTTAAAGTCAACACTTTATACTTAATTACTCCGTATATAATACTCCCTCCGTTTCTGAAACAAGTTCCACCTTTCCTTTTCGGGCAGATTCAAAATTAAGTTCCACTTTCAAACATTTCCTTATTTGGTAAATTATCTATATCAAAACAGTATCAAACAGTGTCAAACAGTGCCAAACAGTGTTCAAACAGTGCGAAACAGTGCACTCCACAGTAAAGTCAAATTTATTTTCTTAATATGTGTGAAGTCAAATGTGAAACTTGTTTCAGAAACGGAGGGAGTAATAGTAGTAGTAATAATACTAATAATAATCATAGTAATAATAGTAATAATAATAATAGTAAAATTAATAAGAACAATCATCATTATCATTACCCAGTGCCGCAAAGGCTCCCACCAGAATAATAATAATAGTAAAAACAAAAACAACAACAACAATAATATATAGTGTTTGTCTAAAGTTAATTTTTGTTTTCATGTAATTGGTATAATTATGTCATACTCCATATATGCAAAAGATCTTGTCCAGCCAGAAGGAAAGGATCCTCCGTCCGGCCGCCACCGTTTAGGGCGGTTCCCGTGAATTTTTTTGACCATGTTCCTCATTAAATCTATTTTATGCACACAAAAATTCAGCTAAAAAATCAATCGAGAAGATAGTCAAATAAAATTTTAAAAATAACTGCGTTTTACACGTATAATTTGACGCATTTATCTTCAAAAACTTATTTAACTATTTTCCCAATCAAATTTGTACCTTAAATGTTTTGTGGATAAATAGGCTTGATAATGAAAATGCTAGAAGTAATTCATCAAAAAGTTTCACCTAGTGTGAGTCCTGTCCCTCCGAAGAATGGAATCATTTTCTCACTCAAAATATACGTAGTACGGAGTATATAACATAGGAATGCTATAGTTTTCAACTGAGCCAAATTTTTACTCCGTACAAGCATATATTTACTGCATTATTGGCCGGGAACAAAAGTGTACTTCGTACGTATTCTATTGATTATACGGAGTAAGTTATAACCAGGCCATTTGATTTTGATACTATTTAGTTAATAGTTACATGCTTTATATAATTATGTTGGATATAATTTCTTATCAGTTACGTTATAAAAACGATATCGTAGTATATAATGGGTTTAGAGGTAATTTGAATTTGCACTTTATTTTATTGTCAAATTGGACTTTGCACTCTGTTTTTTTTTTAAATTTGTATCTGCACCATGTTTTTTAAAAACTATGTATTTGCAACCCCAACCCCTATGGAAAGATAAAAATGTCCTTCGATCAGGAATATGTTGATGGCCAACAAAATTGTTAATGAGGTATTTTTGTATTTTCACACAGAGTTAAATGTGGTGCAAACTAAAATTACCCTTATATAAAAAGAACTTAAGTTTTCCAGATTGCAATTAATTAAGTATATTAATAAGAGATTACCCAAAATAGGACTAAAAATGTTTGTATATTTTAAAATAGAACTATCATGTTTTTATTCCCAAAATAGGACTAATTACTGTCATGTTTTGGCAATATCAGGCTTTAAACATGACAGTATTTTCCAAACTTGGCAGTAATTACTCCTACTTTGGGAATAAAAACATGGCAATCATATTTTGGAATTTTCAATCTTTTTTACTCCTATTTCGGGAATTTTCCCTAATAATAATCAAAATGGAGAAGTATATTGTAAGCTAGACTAGGTAGTTTCTGTTCGATCTAACGTAACGCTGCGAATTATAATGAGTTGTAGTTCCACATTAACTTGATGGATCATTATTAATTAATTAATTACTTTGTGATTAATTAACCAGCTACTACCATTATATATATATATATATATATATATATATATATATATATATATATATAGGTTTTGGTTCAAATAAGAACATGATCTTAGGAGAGAAATGAGAACGAATCTGGACCGTTACATTTGCTTTAAGTGAAATTCAATGTGCATTAGATGAAACTGTAATGTGCATTAAGTGAAATTGAAATGTGCAACACAACGTATGATACAATGTCATTAAGTGAAGCTGAATTGTGCATTAGGTGAAATTGAAATGTGCACTAGGAGAAACTGAAATGTGCTGAATAAAAGGTACGATGTGATGTTATTTTTGTACATTTTATTCCGCACATTTCAGTTTCACCTAATGCACAATTGAGTTTAAATTTTTATTCTGCACATTTCAGTATCATGTAATACACATTTCAGTTTCATCGAATGCACATTTCCGTTCCACATAATAGTGATAATACAATCTAACGGTCCAGATTCATAATTATTTACACATACACATATATGCATATACATGTATATATATGTATATATATATATATATATATACACAAATGTTCATGTCCGGAATTCCGGACGGGAACCGGTGGCCGCATTGAGGATCGTGTCAGGATGGTTGGACACTATCTTTTTCCTTTCTTGGAATAATATAATAAAGGGCAACATATTGTGGTACGTGATCGTAAAATGCAATAATAAAGATCAAAGCTAAAATCCGCATATACTTAATCAATTACTGCTTTATTGCACACTTAATTAGCTTGGGCGATAACCAACCCTCAGCAATTCTTTTCAATAAACTAAATAAAGAAGCTAGACACCATATTACTTATATATGAATGATATATAGAACAGTGCAGCTAATATAATACTGACGCGACCACGTAATTAATTCAGACTTATGTAGCTAAATTTAATTTGTTTCATCTACTTCATGCAGGGGCGGACCGTAGTAGAGAACCAGGGGGGCTACCGCCCCCCAACAATTTTTTTTTTAGTGTATATATATACGAAAAATGATTTTTGTTCTTCCAAAAAGTATTTTGAACTCCCCAAAAATATTTTCGCCCCCAAAATGACTTTCCTGGGTCCGCCCCTGACTTCATGCATGCATGAAAGCATACAATCCTTAGATGATTAATTAATTATGATAAAGAATACTTCGTAGATCGATACTAAACAGATAAATTACGCTTAATTTGCACATAATAATAGTAATTAATTAACATGCTCCAATTAAGCATTGGGGCCAACGCGGGTGTCAGACTGAACAGGGTGGCCGACGCCCGGACTGTGGCCGGGATTGTCGCCGTCAAGAGAAGCTGCGGTGGCGGAGCTGACGGCATCGCCGGAAGGTGGTGGGACTTGACGGACATTCTTTAGTTTTGGGAGGACCTCATGGGAGGGGTTGGTGGGTGACGTGACGTTAGTGGGCAAGTGCGGCTCCTTCAGTGACCTTTGCTGCGACACGTGAATCCCAGAGCAGAAAAGCAGTGCCAGAAACAAGGCACATCGGAGAATCGTCATCAACCGGAATGTTGCCATTAAATGGACAGGCCGGCCGCCGGATTTTGATAGCTAATCTCGGGACGTAGTAATAAAATGGTGATGATGAGGAAGGGCAATGTAACCAGGCGCGCAGTGCGTTCGTTTGTAGGTGTTGTTCACGTGTATATATAGGGGATGTAGGGGACGAGGCACTGTTTTTTCACAAATTGTACTACTAAAATCCGTTGAATTGGTTAGATTATGTTGAAATTGAAAGTTTTGAGTGATATAATTGATTTTGCTAAATGTGGTGAATTATATGTGAAAAATTATATTTAACATACTCCCTTCGTTTCTGAAACAAGTTCCACATTTCCTTTTCGGGTTGATTCAAAATTAAGTTCCACTTTCAAACATTTCCTTATTATCAACATCAAAAGAGTGTCAAACAGTGTTCAAACAGTGCCAAACAGTGTTCAAACAGTGCCAAACAGTGCACTCCACAGTTAAGTCAAATTTATTTCCTTAATATGTGTGAAAATAATTTAGTACTCGATAAAAAAAGTATTCTACAACAACTTCAGTCAATTCAACTAGAAAAGTAACTTCAATCTTACTCTCTCTGGTTCCAAAAGATCTTAACACTTTGACTTCACAGTTTTTAACGAAATAAATTTGACTTTACTGTAGAGTACACTGTTTGACACTGTTTGACACTGTTTGACATTGTTTGGTACTGTTTTGTGTAGATTTATTTGCCAAATAAGGCAAATAAGGAAGTGTAAAGATAATTGTGGTACTGATAAAAATGGAAAGTGTAAAGATCTTTCAGAACCGGAGGGAGTACTTATGTTGATTTATTTGCAATTCATCTTGCAAAATCAAAAGTTACGAGTTTATTAAAAAAATTAACTAATTAGGTTTATAACTCGAAAAAGGGTCACAAAACGGGCTCGCAGTGTAGAATATATTATTTTGACACTTTTAATAATAGTATACGGTCATTGTATTTGTTAGGATGTCTTTATGTTCTACCCTGAACGATGTCTGTTTTATGTATATTTAGAAGTGCTGAAGTCTGTTCTGATCTGATTCGGTCTGGTTTGTTTGGTTTAAGGATGTTTTTACTTGAACATATTTCAATCTCATCACAAATCAAACAAGAACATGCGTTAACATACCACCATAACAGACCGACCAGACTTGGGCATTTTATAAAATACATACACCGTATATACTAAACAAATCTAGACCAAATCAGTTTAGACCAGATCAGATTTAAACATACAACACAAGATCAGACTGGACTACATCGACCTGAGTATTTCAGACCAATTAAAAACATCTTAAATTTGATCTAGTCTACACATGAAATTAATCCAATTAAAACAATATTACCAAGTAATACTCGGTAGTAATATAAGTGCTATTAATATTGTCACATATTCGAACTCTAATGTTTACGTTTTGAGGTATTGGTGTCTCATGGAGAAGTTCGTGAATTGGTGTACAGGATACTATACATAATGTCATTTTAATTATCAAAAATAGGTTATAGTTACAAATGGCATGATAGGTATTATAGTGTCCATGCATAATTTAATTATATTCCCATATCTATAGCATGATCGAGGACCATTTACATAATTCTATATGCCAATTTTGGTTATATATTGATAAATCTGCCAATTTATTTTTATTGGATAATAATAAAATAATATATTTTTGAACTTTTTCCGCCTAATTTAGAGGAATTTCTATCCAAATATAAAAAAAAATTGACTATAACTTCGCATGGCCGTATTTTAGGGGGGGCAATAGGGGTATTCAGAACAGGGCCCCAGATTTATGGGGCTCCAAAAATTTAAAAATGTATTAGTATTATATAATAATAATGTACTGCATTTATTAATATTAATATGTAAAATACAGTTAGTAAGAAGAAAAATATAGATCCGATCATTTTTTCGTCGGTCATTTTAGTTTTCTTTTGCTCAAATTGTTTGAATAATGAGTTGAGCTGCTTTAAATCAAGTATTAAGTAAGTTTTAGAATTTTATATTACATTATTTAATGAGTATTCAATTGATTTAAGTATAAGTATTTGGATTGAGATGTTTTTTATTTTTCATATTAATGTGGGGTCTCGATTTTACATTTGGAGTTAGGACCTCCGAATTCATTAGACGGCCCTAACTTAGTAAATATTTTTATAGATGGAAAAAGATGCAACCAAGTATAATACTCCGTAATAGCTAACTTAGGAAATATGATGAAATGCTTATTCATAAATTCATTTCCACATACGTGAAAAGAAATGACACATATAATTGATACGAATTTATAAATAGAAATTACCTTAAATAGGAGCAAAAATGTTTTGAAATTCCAAAATAGGAGTATCATGTTTTTTATTCCCTGAACAAGAGTAATCTGCCAAGTTTGGAAGAAAATGCCATGTTTAAAGCCTAGTAATGCCATGTTTGGCAGAAATTTACTCCTATTTGGGGATAAAAAACATGATACTCTTATTTTGGAATTTCAAAACTTTTTCTCCTATTTAGGGAATTCTCTCATTTATAAAATGAAGTATCTGGAAATATAATAAAACTGTTTAATTCTTTTCCATATATGTATGTTGACATGCAAAGTACTTTCTTCTTCATATTTCATTGTGATTTAAATTATGCATTTAATAGTATTTAAGTTAAACATGTAAACATTGAACATAATTATAATTTAAAATAGTAAGAACTATAATAAAAACTAACAAGGTCTTGGATTCATTTGCCCACCCTACTTTTAGAGAGGCATTTCTATCCAAATTAACAAAATATTGTGCCAACACACATCATAAATATTTTTATAAATGGAAAAATTAAAATTTTCAACTAAATATAATAATAATAGCTAAACTCAGGAAATGACATAATTAAATTTTTATTAATCAATTTATTTCCATACACTATACGTGAAAAGAAATGAAACATGTACTATCCCCCGTATCACATTAATTGCAACATTGGAATATATACACTATTTATGTACTTTACTTTGACTACGTAGTACATTTTATTTATTAATGTATGTGAATTATTTTTTTTGAAAAATATTGTTAACTTCGTCTCATTATTAAGTTTTATAATCTGATTTTTATTTTATTTTTACTAATACAAAATTAAATATAATGACGGTCAAAGTTGTGCGTTGACAAACGTAAAATGTTGACGGTTGCAACTAAAAAGTGACGTATAGATTATATTCCGTACAAGTTTATAAAAGCAACTGCCTCGAAATACAGGAAGAGTGATTAATTAATTCATTTCCATACATATGTGTTATGATCCACAAATGACCATATGTAATTAGTTTTCCTTCACTCGATAGTTTTCACATGTACTTTCTTCATCATATTTTATTCAAAAACTAAGAGCATGTTCGGTAGGCATAAGTCACTATTTTCTAACTTCTCTACTATTTAAAAGATCTTTAAAAACTTTTAGTTGTATGTTTGGCATGTCAAGTTTAATTTAAAAGTTTTTTTTTATAAATAAAATACCTTTTTTGAGATGGTGCAATGTGTAGCATCTGAGAAAATTTTGTAGCTAACTTTCAACATTAATTAATCTTACCACCTTTACCAAACAAAACTATATAAAACAGTCGTTTTTTATCAAATTAAAGCTATAGCTGAAGAGTAGATGTATTTAATTACTTCTCATACTTGCCATTTTTATTAAATACAAGCTATGTTTGATTGATATTTGTCTATTAGAGAGAAACAATATTAGTTACATGTGTCTTTTAAGATCTTTTCCGTTATTAAAAGCTAATAACTATTAAAAAAACTCATAAAAATATCTTTTCAGTTAGTTGTGCCAAACATACCATAAAACTTTAGTAGTACTGAAATTAGAAATAATACTAAAAATGTAAAAATTCAGCATTTTTTTCATGATTATGTAACTATATCAAATTGAAAAAAAACTAATTATAATAGGGGAAAACTTTAATATAAAAAATAACTAAAAATAATTATATATGTGACTAAATAAAGATGATTAACAAAATGTGACATTTAATTCAAAGCAATTATATGAATAACTTTTACTTACTATAATAATGCTCTGTTTTAGACTTTAGTGACTATGAAGATGACAATGTTTTCTTAATTGAACTATTTGTCACACCAGTAAAATATGAACTAATAGACTACTAAATATGAACTAATAAACTACTACATGTTATATTAAGACTGCTGGCTATCCCTACTCTTATCATGTTGAACTTTAAAGATAAAACTTTGAGTCTTAATCATTGTTCTAAAACTCGCTAGGCGCTGGTCGAGCGGATGAGGGGTGCCTAGCACTTAGCTGGCCGACAACGGCGCTTTTTTGTCCGACTAGGCTGATTATGTGGTTGATTAGGCTGATTAGTCCTCTACAGTTAGGGCAAACTAGACTGATTAATCGGTCTAACTATTCTGATTTTGAGGACAGAGATCTTAACATGACATCAAAGCAAACCGATCGGTAACCATAGTGTGGACCCAATGAAAATGATGACAAAGACTATAAAAAAGACAATGTTGGTAGAAAATATGTTGAGTAGAAAATTCGGCAGCAATTCAGTACAGTAAAAGTGACTTATCCAATACAAAAAGAGGGGCGGCCTATTTATAGGCGCTTACAAGAGGTTTCTTGAATACTAATGGGCTTGGCCCAATTAAACAACTAAAACAAGAAGCCTGATCCCAGGCCAATGGGCTGGTCGGGCCCAGAGTTCAACTAATCAATCCAAGGACCATATTATCTAGCCGGACCGTGTGCTGGGCCTGGTTCGCGCCCGAGCCCAGGCATATTGGGTCGATAGTATTGGACCTGGCCCATTATCCCAACACGAGTCCCCCACTCCCCTAGTCGAGTAGCAGACTCGGCTAGAAGGGAGTAGTCAAGTTGATCAACGATCGGTTCGTCTATCGGATCGGCTGGCTAGTCGCACCTCCATTGTAGCAGTCTGGGGTGCTCGTCAACGTAATCGTTGGCCCGTAGGGGGGCCATACTTTGCAGGCCTTGATCGGCCCCTTTGCTTTGCTCCCTACTGCTTGCAAAGGACGGGCCCCTTTGCTCCCGACGGTATGCAACGTTTCCCATCAGC